CTACAGAGTGAGTTCTGGTACAGCCAGGGCTGTTACACAGAGAAACCCTGTCTTGAAAAAAACAAACCAAACCAAAAACCCAAAACAAACAAACAAAACGTTTTTAGAGAACACAAAAGAATGAGAGGACACAAAGAGGGAAGAGGGGCACTGTGTTCTAGGAAGAACAGAACACTCCCTCTGCCCCCTCACTTCTGGATCTAGCAAGGCGGAGACCTAGCCCTCTTTGGGGAAGGCACTTGCCTTTGGTTCACTAAAAGGAAGACTGAGTCCTAGCGGTACCACACGGAGCAACTTGCAGCTTGCTATCAGAACTAGTCAAGATCTTGGCAGTCTAAGGAAACAGCAGCTTAGCTACTATGGTGGCTTGTATGTGTAGCTTTGGTATCTAAAGCCAGTTTAGCTAACATGAAATTTTGTTTCAGAAATAAAGCAAAACCCTTCAGTTTATTCTCTTACTAATGTAGAAAGCAGAAATCCAGGACCAGGGGTCAGCAGGCTGTGCTTCCTCTGAAGGTTTTAGCAGGGAATCCGCCTTTGTTTGCTCCACTTGCTGGGGCTCCAGGTGTTCTCATGCCTATGTAACCGATTTATTTGCCTCCATCTTCACGTGGCTCTTTTCTCTCTCTCTCCCCTCCTCCCTCCCACCCCTCCATCTCTCTCTCTCTCTCTTTCCCCCTCCCTCCCTCTCTCTGCCATTGTCTTGGGAGGACACTTGTCCTTGGATTTAATGATCCTCTGATAATCCAGGATGATCTCATCTTAAACCACTTACTTTAATTACATCTTCACAAACACATTTTCCCCCATGGAAGGCAACATTCACAGGCAACCATTCCACCCTCTAGAGCTTGCGGCCACTCATTTTTAAGGTGGAAACTTCATGGGAAAATGTCTCACTGAAGATATCCTGCTGGAAAACCTCCTAAGGAATAGGGTGCTGGGATGGGGTTAGGTGGTGGGGACTGTTGTCTACTGCAGAGCCCCTCTCAATATAGGAGGTTGCTGAGGAAGCACAAAAGAGCCCCCAAACTGCTTTTACTCTAGCAGTGTCTTGTCACTGCCCTCTCTTGACAAAGGTTAAAAGGTATCAACAGGGGGCTGGAGAGATGGCTCAGTGGTTAAGAGCACTGGTTGTTCTTCCAGAGGTCCTGAGTTTGATTCTCAGCCACCATATCACAACCATCTGTAATGAGATCTGGTGCCCTCTTTTGGCCTGGGTACATGCAGACAGAACACTGTATACATAATAAATAAATAAATCTTTGAAAAAAAAAAAAAGGTATCAGCAGGCAAAGGGTCCATAACATCCTTAGGGAGGACTTTTCCAAAGAAAAAACTTTGTTCCAAGCAAAGTAGCATAAGACTTTAAAACCAGCACTCAGGATGCAGGGGTAAGAGGATCTCTGTGAATTTGAGGCCAGCCTGGTCTATGTAGTAAGTTCCAAGCTAGCCAGCACTATGTAGTGAGACCTGTAAAATGAGAGAGAGAGAGAGAGAGAGAGAGAGAGAGAACACCTTGGGACTTACCAAAAATGATAGGCAGCTCATTTGAGGGACTACTACATATCTCTGTAGTTGAGCAGTTGAGCTAGGGAGTATTGCAATGATATTTTATGATAGGGTCTCATATAGCTTAGGCTTGTCTTGAACTTCCAATCCTCATACCTGGATGTTGGGGTTGCAGTCACGGGCCTCTTATCTAACGACCGAAAGATTTTTTAAAGATTCATTTTATGTATATGAATGTTCTGCCTGCATAAATGGCTGGTGTCTGAGGTCAGAACAGAGTGACAGATCCCCTAGAACTGGAGCTCTAGAAGGGTCTGAACCACCACTTGGGTGCTGGCAATGCAACCTGGGTCTTCTGCAAATGGAACAAGTACTCTTACTGCTGAGTCAACTATCCATGCCCTGAAAAAAAGTTTTTAAAGCTATAATGTATTTGGTCTTTGTTTTTGTTTGCTATTTATTTCAAGACAGGATTTCTCTGTTTAACCCTGGCTGTCCTGTAACTTACTCTGTAGACCAGGGTAGCCTTGAACTCAGAGATTCGCCTGCCTCTGCCTCCTGGGTGCTGGGATTAAAGGTGTGAGACACCACCACAGAGCCTTGTATTTGGTCTTTATAAAGTCATTTTGCCTATTTATTTTTGTCAGTGTTTGATGATGAATAGTTATTATTTTTGTTTTGTTTGAGACAGGGTCTCATTTTGTAGCTCTAGCTGGCCTACAACCCACTATGTTGATCAGGCTGGCCTTCAAGTTAGAGATCTCCTGCCTCTGACTCTAGACTTCTGAGATGAAAGGCATGTGTCACCACACCTGGCATTAGCATTTTTGTTATATATATAATCAGCCTAACACATGCTTGCAGGCAAAGATCTCAGGACAAAGTATGGAAGGTCATTTTGTAAGACTAAGTATCACATACATTTTTATGGGTCCAAAATACAGCATGAATAGAACCTCTATCTTAATCCATGTGGTTAATAGTTGTAATCTGTAGTTGCTAGCAATTTTAGAGAATTAAAGTGCATTATGTGGCTTTGAAGATAATACAATTATCTTGCTATATTCATGATGTGACATTACCCAATTAAATACAATGTGAGATACTCTGTGTAGCTACTATTTCTAAGTGAAATAGCCACATCTATTTTAATTTTGAAATTTTTTGAAGTTAGCATAAAGTTAAAAAACTTAGATGTGTAGCTCATTAATATACACATGCACAAAATATGTGCATATTATTTACAATACTGCATTAAAATATTCCAGAAGGATCAGTACCTCAACACCATCTCTGCTGCTGCTCCAGCATTACCACTGTTCTTGAACTTCATGGAAATGGAAACTTAGAATATATTTTGATTTTTCAAGTCCAGCACCACTTGTGATGACACTATTATTTTAGAATTTTACCAGCTATTAGCCATGTGAAATATGTGTGCATGATAGATGTATAAGTCTGTTGCTTGATTTAGTTAGACTAATCAGCTTATTTATTCTTCCATAAATAATACTGTTGTTATGAATATGTTGTACATGCCTATGGTACTGACGTCAAGTTTAGGACCACACTGGACTACAATGTAAGACCCTACCAAAACAAAACAAAAAAAAAAAAAAAACAAAAGCCACACAAGCCAGGTCTGTAATCCCAATAACCTGGAGGAGGATTTGAAGTACTTGTCTCAGTTTCAGAACAGGTTCAAGGCTAGCCTGCTGCACTTAGTGAAATTCTGCCTCAAAATTAAAAAAAATAACAACCTTTAGTTTTATGTGTATGAATATTTGCAAGCATGTATATACACTAAGTGTGTGCCTGATGCCCATGGGGACCAGAAGAGGGCATCAGATCTACTGGGACCGAAATTACAGATGGTTGTGAGCAGCTATGTGGGTGCTGAGAATCAAACACTAGTCTTCTGAAAGAGTAGTCTGTGTCATCTCTCCAGCCTAAATTGAAAAATAAAATTAAAAAGCTGGGTTAAGTTTAGAGTGTTTGCCTAGCATATGCAAGGCTCTGAGTTCAATCTGCCGAAACTAAGTTAAAAAAAAAAAAAAGGAAGTAAGAAAGGAAGAGAAGAAAAGAAATAAACGGAAGGAGGGAGGGAGAGAAATCCTGAAGGTAACAAAGGCCCAAAGTCCTGGGGATACAGCTCAGTGGATGAATGCCTCCCTACCATGTGTGAGTGCCTAGGTTCCCCCTGGAATACTGGGAAAACCAAAGAAACAAACAACAAATGAAAGCAACCCAGAAAGTCTGTATTTACAGATTTTACAATCAGGAGAGGTACGTTCTCTTCTTGGCTATTCTTGACACTTTGAGTTTGTTTCTGGACTCTATTCTGCTATCCTTTCCCTCTTTTAAGACAAGGTCTCACTGCTACTTTTCAGGCTGGCCTTGAACATGCTATCATCCTGCAAGTCTAGCAAGACTGTGGTAGGCCCATTTTACCTTACCAAGTTTGGTAGCATTTTCTGAACTATATTGTAATCTTTTTAGGTAGCTCTATCCCAAAGGAATTCTTTGAAGGGCGTGGTGGCGCATGCCCTCAGCACCCGCACTCTCGGGAGGCAGAGTTTGTGAGTTTGAGACCAGCCTGGTCTATAAGAGCTAGTTCCAGGACAGCCTCCAAAACCACAGAGAAACCCTGTCTCTAAAAACTGGGCTTTGGTGGCGCACGCCTTTAATCCCAGCACTTGGGAGGCAGAGGCAGGGGATCTCTGTGAATTTGAGGCCAGCCTGGTCTCCAGAGCGAGTGCTAGGATAGGCTCCAAAGCTACACCGAGAAACCCTGTCTCGAAAAACAAAAACAAAAAAAACCAAAAACAAATCCCAGCATTTAGGATGTAGAAGCAGTAGGATCCCAGGTTGGAGGTTGGGCTGCTTTTTGAAACCATTTCAAAACAAAACAAACCAACCAAAAAAATCCACCCCCCCCCAAACCAAACAACCCAACCCCAAACATCCAAAACCAAATAATCTTCTTGGATGACACAAACGACCTACTTGTGCCTTAGGCCACGGAAGGCAGTCACTAGCCACATGAGGCTATGAGCAAAAGTGCCGGATGGACACCAAGAAATGGGATCGCTGTATTTAGGGCTTTTGTTCCTCGCCCTCAGTGCTGGGGGATGAACACGGAGCTTCACCGAATTCATAATTTCTTAGCTGAGTTAATTGTAGATCTAGTGAAAAGGCCCAGAAGCATCCTTCATATTTCTGAAGATTATCAGATGGTAAGATTTTTAAGCACATGAGTTCACCAACATTGAGTTATCACAAAGCTGAGGCAAAACGATTTCCGGAGCCAGGCATCTATTTCGTAGAAGGGGATTTAGATGTGCTTTGAACAGACAACACTAACTTTGGAGCTGTGAGTCTTATTCTAAACAAGACACTCTCCCAAATGCTTTCTCTTTTCCTATAGAGCTTTGTTTGGCACAAAACTTATCCGGGATGACATCACCATAACGTGTTCCAAAGTTGAACACATGCTATTAGACTAACCTAGATGGTATTTAAATAGAACTCATACTGCATTAAAAAAAAACTTGAAGACTAAGAAGAAAAAGAACTGGAGCGG